ACATCCTATGACAAAGCTGATAATAGATTATTATCACAAATTAAACCACCATCAAGGAAGGGAACAGATCTTAAATCATCTTCGAGAAAAATTTTGGATTATCAAGGGAAGAGCTGCCATCAAAAAATGTCAAACATCCTGTATGATATGTAGGAGAAAAAATCGTAAGACTGAGTCACAGCAAATGGGACCAATACCTAATTGTCGTATAACTCCTCAAGTCAGAGCATTCATAATAACTGGAATGGATTATTTTGGTCCTATATCCGTATCCATTGGTAGAAGGAGAGAAAAACGATATGGTGTTATTTTTACGTGTATGTCTACCAGGGCAATCCATTTAGAGCTCGCTTTCTCTCTTACAACCGACTCAGCAATAATGGCAATTCGCAGGTTCATTTGCCGAAGAGGTAGCCCTTCTGAAATATACTCAGATAATGGGACTAATCTTTGTGGAGCCGAAAAAGAAATGAAAAACGCTCTTCAAGACATAGTAAATTCGAATCAAGTTCAAAATTTCTGTTGTAATAGGCATATAAAATGGTTCCGAAATGCCCCAGCAGCTAGCCATATGGGAGGAGTATGGGAACGCATGATAAGATCTGTAAAAGATGCTCTCAAAACAATTTTGACTGAACAATATCCTAAAGAAGAGATGCTACTGACTTTACTTGTGGAAGTAGAGTATACAGTAAATAGCCATCCACTTACATACGTTTCATCAGACCACAACGACTACGAAGCCCTAACACCAAACCATTTTCTCATTGGTAGATCCCATGAAGTCAGTCCTCCAGGAACTTTTTGTGACACAGATCTTTACCTAAGAAAGCAGTGGCGTATTGCTCAAAGATTTGCCGACCAATTTTGGAAGAGATGGCTTAAGGAATATGTGCCAACTCTCATAAAACGGAGCAAATGGGAAAATGCAACCAGTAAGGTTTCAGAAGGAGATGTGGTTATATTGGCTGACGAAAACTTTCCCAGAAATTCATGGCCAAGAGGAAAAATAATAAAAACATATCCAGGTCGAGACGGAAAAGTCAGAGTGATCGACGTAAAGACAGCAACAGGGGTGTATCGGAGACCCGTCACCAAGATTATTTTACTGTCGTCACCTAGCTTCCATGTTAGTTTTTATGAGGCCGGGAGGATGTTGTAGTCAAAAGTGTTTGGGCGCTTAGTACTTAATATAACCTTCCTTTTGTTTATCATAGTATGTAAAAATAATGTTGTCAGATATAATTTGATATAAGTTGTCAATAAAAGTTAAAAAAGGAAAAAGTTCATTTTTGCCAATAATAAGTATTTATACAAACAATAACAATGCTTTGGAGAAGTACTCGAACACTATCCAAAGCACAATAAACAATGCCTATAAGAAACCTTGTCCCCTGAGGCTGGTCCAACACGATAAGACGACTACCGCATGGTGGTGTCACGAGTTGAATTACCTCATGAAGATGGCTAGGAAATCCTTTAATCAGGCAAGAACCACAAAACTCAAAGAGGACTGGGATACTTACAAATCTCACCTCAGAGAACACAAAAAAATCTTCAGACAAAAACAGAGAGATGCATGGAGATCCTACTGCGAAAAAATCGAAGATTTCCCGCAAGCAGCAAGGCTTCAAAAAGCTCTCTCAACAGATCCACACCCAAGCATTGGTGCGCTAATCAAAGAGGATGGCACGAAAACTGCCAACCTCGAAGATAGCACCAAACTTCTGCTGTCAACACACTTCCCTGACTCGGTCATCACAGACGTGGCCGACTCGGCAGAGGAAGAATACAATCCATCTCTCTATGATTGGCAAACTGCCAAACACATTGTAGACGATGAAAAAATTAGATGGGCAATATCCAGCTTCTCTCCATTTAAATCGCAAGGACCTGACGGTATCTATCCAGCCCTACTTCAGTGGGGTCTGGAGAACTCACACCCTGGTGGGTATATTCAGATCCCCGTCGGCTTTGAGGTATATCCCCAAAAAATGAAGAGAGGTAAAAGTGGTATTTATACCCAAACCTGGAAGGATGGATTACACTGTCCCAAAAACATACCGACCAATTAGTCTGACATCGTTTTCCATAAAGCCATTGGAAATGCTATGCGAAAGGTACATAAGGGATGCGGTGATTACAACAGGCAGATCTACTGATTCAGCCATTCATCTAGTTGCTGGCCGGATAGAAAGATACCTGGACAATAAGGAGCCCGTCTTGGGTGTTTTCATAGACATAGAAGGTGCTTTTGATAAAACCATCTTCCCACTAACCAACAGAAATGTTCCACAAACGGTTAGTGCGTGGATACATAACATGTTCTCAAAGCGAGCAGCAAACATAAGTGTAGAAGATGTGAATATAAGAAGCTTGGTTGCGAGGGGATGTCCACAGGGAGGGGTGCTATCACCTCTACTGTGTAATATGGTCCACGACATCCTCATCAGCCGCCTCAATAATGACAGTCCCTACAAAATCGCATATGCAGATGACCTGGTCATTCTGCAAACAGGGAATTTTGAGAACATACTCTGCGAAAGAATGCAAGTAGCTTTAAAAATTGTAGAACAGTGGTGCAAGGACCATTCACTGTCTATCAATCCTAGGAAGACAGAAATGGTCCTTTACACAAGGAAAAGAATGAAAATGGAATTAAAACCTCCAGAACTCCCAAACACAAAACTAAACTTTGCGACAGAGGTGAAGTACCTAGGTCTCACCTTTGAAAGCAAGTTAACATGGAACACGCATTTATAAAACAGAGTTAAAAGAGCATACATTGCTTATGAACAATGCCGCTGAACCGTGGGACGTATCTGGGGTTCCTCCCCTAGAGTCGTTGCATGGTTGCACGGCTATCATAAAACCTACAGTGGAGTTGTCTGGGTACCGAAAACCCAAAAATTAACAGCTATCCGTAAACTAGAACAAATTCAAAGAACAGCATGTCTTAACATACCAGGAGCCATGAAAACAACACCGACCAGAGTGATGGAAGTCATTCTTAGTCTCACTCCCCTTGATATTTACATCAAGGAGGTTGCTCTGACAACAATGACACGCCTCCGCACTGTTGGAATAAAACCTGATGTAGGATATGGTGAGGCGAGACGTAACTTTTGGCAGGAGGCGCTCTATACGCTCCCACTGCTTCAAGCGAACATGGACTCCATCTCACCGAGATATATCTTCCATAATCCGCATATAAAGTTATAATAGAACAAATAAAAGAGCCAGAAGTGGCAGGTACGATTCATATCTACACCGACGGTTCTAAAACAAAACAAGGCTCAGGATGTGGAATATACTCCAGATTCTTAAACCTAAACATAAAATGGGCTGTGAGCAATAGTCCCAGTGTAGTTTAAACAGAGCTAACGGGGATTCTCATAGCAGCAAAAGAAATAAACAGATACAATATCACTGGAAGGAACATGCTCATCTACACAGATAGCAGACAAGCACTACCCCCCTAACAGACCACGAATTTATTCAGGGTTAGTTCTAGAATGTCACGAAGCTTTGGCCGAAGTATCCATCAACAATGTGGCCACCTTAAGATGGATCAAAGGTCACGCCACATCGAAAGGTAACCGTCTTGCCGATTCACTAGCCAAGAAAGAGCCAACCAAATACTTTTTGGACCTGGCCCTTCTATTGGCCTGACGACATTGGTAGTGACAAGCCTAATTAATAAACATTCCCTTGTGAAATTCAAAGAAAGATTGGATGAAACGAGAAGCTGCAGAGTTGCCAGAGAGCTTTTAAGTTATCCTGATGACACTACCGCAAAAAAATACTTGACTATGACTATGCAGAATCTGCGTCAACCACATCAAATATGTATGCCGGCTCACGATCTAAGAGGTGCCTATCAACTAAACAAGAAACTGCAGAGTTGCCAAGGAGCTCTTAAGTTATCCTGACAACACTGCAGCAAAAAAATACTTGACTATGACTAGACAGAATCTGCGCCTGGTCACAGGCATTCTGACTGGTTATTGCCAAGTACGGAAACATCTCCATATCATGGGGCTGTCAGAAACCGCACTCTGCAGAGGGTACTAACAAGAAGACGAGACCATCGAGCATATCCTTTACGATTGCTCGACGCTCTCATTTATTAGAAGATTTGTGTTCAGCGAGTATCGGCTAACACCATCCGATATAAGAGAAGCACCTCTTGGCGACGTTGACAACTACATTAAATCTGTAGGCTGGCTCACGAGCTAGGAGGGGGCCTATCATCTTAGGAGGATGTACAATGGGCCTAATGAGGCCTAAGTGCCGTGGGATAACCCACCCTCCACACGTTACAGATACAGATAACAGAAGCGACATATTTTTAAAAATGAAGAAAAATTTCGAGAATATTTTTGATTGACGTCAGTTTTGTTTGATGAAGTTCTAAGATCTAATTTCTAAGATCTATCAATTTCTCCTCATCTTCGTTGGAAAATTGGAGCTGTTGATAACTTTTATTGGACATATTTTATAACTATAATGTCCACACCTCACGAATTTCAAATACGAACTGACAGCGGAATTGCGCTGAAACCAAATATGTTTTGATTCCAACGGACAACGCCGGCGCATTCCGTTAAAAATAAACAGGTTTTAAAAAACGGACGGTTTGGTTAGACATTTTTAAATACGGAGAACTTCGCGAACGCGTTCCGTCGACGAACTTCGTCGGCAAAGTTCGCGACGGAATGTTCTTAAAAACCAAGCCTATATTCAAGATAAACGCAAGTGACACAAAAATACAACTAGCCCCTTAACCACAGCATGATACGCCCGACTGGCCAATAGCAGTCTTGCGTGTGCGTATCATGCTGTGGTCATAGGGCTAGTTGTGTTTAAGTGTCACTTGCCTTTAGGTTGAATAGATATTTAGTTTATTACCACTTTAGAAATTGTGTACTACTTTATTTTTATTAAATTATAAATGCAGTTTCTCAATAACAGTTTTTCATTGAATGTTTTTCTTACAGTAAGTTTAGGAACAGTAACAAACCCAATAGGCTCGTTACTGTCCGGCGTTTTGGCAGAATTTCTGGGTAGAAAGCGATCAATTCAATTAGCTGCCATACCAGTAATCGTGGGTTCCTTGTTACTTGGTTTAGCTCAAAATGTAAATTGGATCTATGCAGGAAGGCTGATCACAGGTATATCAGGAGGTAGGTAAACTATTTTAACAATAATGTTATCTTTCTGCTGGCCCTGTCTAGCCGGCGAATATATTTTTGCAATATATTCTGTTTTACATTTAAATTCAGTAAAACATATCCATATCAATACTTAACGATTTTGCGTTTCAGTTTGAAGAAATTGTCAGAGACCATACAGTAACTTCTGATTTAATAGTTGTTACAAAATGCCAGATTCGCCATAGAAGTGTTAATAAAAAAAAAACGCTTTTGATAGGTAAAGGTAATCAATAATCTGTGATCGGTTAGATAAAACATGCTCCAAGTTTTTGTTTTTTTACGGCACTTTGAAGTAGATTGAAAGATGTCATCATCTCTTTTAATTTTCTTTATATTGAGAGCCAACCGAACACCTTGAAAATTTATAATTCCTTCTGAGCCTTTATTTTTAGTCCGATTTTTGTGAAATTTTCAGGAAACACCAATAACAAACCTTAGGACGGAGAAACCTTATTTTTTTGTAAACCTCAAAAAGTTATTATCTTGATAATTTTTAACAGGAATTAAAAAAACATTTGCGCTCCGTTCTGTATTAAATCTATGAAAATTTGCTTTTTGTTTTAATAAATATCGTCATAGTACCGTAGTTTTTAAATGGGAGGGTTTACCTTCTTTTCAAAATTACATAATAAAGTTATATGGAACTTCTATGCAATTATGTTTCAAAAATTATAAAGATATATTATTTGAGTTAAATTTTTAAACTTACCCGTTTAAGTTAAATGAAATTACGGTTACAAGTGATAAACATAAATTTATTTAAGTAAACAGATTTTATATTCTAAATTAGGTTTTTTTTAATAATAGCATTTGAATAAGGAATTCTTTTTATTTTAGGCATGTCACCTGCTTCTTATACGTATGTAGGAGAAGTTTCAACCTCACAAGCTCGAGGCATAATGCAAACTCTAGGCCCCACATTTGCTTCAATTGGAATTATGATGACTTACATCTTTGGATATTTTCTACATTGGACTACTGTAGCCTATATAAGTATTGGCTTTGCTATTTTGTCAATTATACTAATGGAATTGGTCCCAGAAAGTCCCTCACACCTTTTAAGACAAGGCAAAAAATCGGAAGGCTTTGATATACTTTTATGGTACAGATGTGATCGCTCTGTTGCTCACGAAGAAATTGATAGGTTCTATCAGAACCAAAAGGAAGCAAATAGCAATAATATGAGTTTTAAGGATACTTATTTTGGGCCACAAACAATCAAACCATTTCTTATTCTTCTTGGGCTTTTTGCTTTTCAAGAATTTTCTGGAATCTATACTTTATTGTTTTACGTTGCCACATTTTTTGAAGTTGCTGATCCAAATTTTGATGAAATTTTAGGTTCTATAATAGTAGGAGCTATCAGATTGGTAATGGCAATAGTTGCAGGTTATCTGGTAAATACCTATGGAAGAAAAATTCTTTGTACATGTTCTAGTATAGGTATGGCAATAACTATAGGTGCTGTTGCTACATATTTAAAGTACTATGAGATACATTCTGACCAAGAAAAAGTAGCCCCATACCTTCCTCTTATAGGTATGATACTATATGTAGCTTGTAGTAACGCAGGACTGTTTCCTATACCTTGGGTGATGATTGGTGAACTGTTTCCGGTGAAAGTTAGACCGATTATGTCTGGAATAGTAGTTAGTTTAGCTCAGTTGTTAATTTTCATATGTGTAAAGGTTTATGAAAATATGACCAATACTCTTAATTTAAGTGGAACTTTATTTGTTTTCATGGCAGTTTCACTGTTATCAGCTGTGTATTGTATAACAATTTTAATAGAGACTAGAAACAAAACGCTAGAAGAAATTGAGGCACACTTTAGAGGTAATAAGAAAATATCAAGCAATGGAGGTATTGATAACGTATTTTTTGATAATTCTTCTGAGAATTTAAATAATGTTAAAAACAGGACTAATACTGGTGGTTTAACAGTTTAGAATAAATCAATTGAATTAATAAAAAGAAAACTTAAAAGAAAATAACTTCCTAATTACGAGTAGGTTCTAAATTAAATCTTTATTTTGCTGCAAAATTTTAGGTAACTACAAAATTTACAAAACAATGACAAATAAGTACTATTCCACGTCTCCTAATTCTGTGCAACGTATCCATCTTTCTAACAACTTCTTTATAACAGAACTGAAACATTTGGGCCTGCTTTGCTTGCATTAAAGTGAATAATAAATAGCGTCAGTATATCAAAAGAAGAAACAATGTAGGGTTTTAACGATGGCATTCGAGTTACCGATGGGTCTTGTATGTATATATCCGGGACTCGCCTAGCAACATCGATACTGCTGCCTGCACTATATGTAGAATTACAATAGTTTGGGCTAAATCTGTATATATCACTAAATTCATCTCCCAATAGTAAATCGTAAGGTATATCTGATTATCCTTTACATTTATGCTACCTCTGCTTTGAAGACCACAGCAATATTTGTACAGTACATATTTTTGTATTTTCACCTACTTCATTAAATATTTGAAACTTGTATTGGTTAAACAAAAAAACAAAAAAACATGAGAAAACATATTATTTATTGCTTATCATTAGGCGTTAAATTGTATTTGTGATTGCAATGTTGGTGTTTTAATTTTTTATTGACCACTATTTTGAGAATATAGCAAATAAAGAATTAACATCAATAGCTATTAAAAGTTGTACAAAAACCAAACTATTAAATTATTAAAAACAGTGTGTACTTTTATGTGTGTTACTTGTTCTATTTAAATCACAGCCCGATATTGAGAAGTGTAAAGGAGCTTCTGTGGTCACAGATAAAATTGAGATTGAGATTGATATTTTTGTTTTTCATATAATTAAATGGTGTTTCGTTTGAAATAATTTATTTAATAATAGATCTAATAAATTAAATTTTGATCAATTCTATAATAAGGGGGGCCCGGCAGCTTTAGAAATTCGCCACAAAAGGGAGGACCTGGTTTACGAAAAATACAAGGTAAGGACCTTTTTTTTCTAGATTTCACTAAGAAAGGATCTGATTTAGCTTGAGGACCTTTTTTAGAAATGTAACATTGAAAGGACAAATTTTTATTTATTATAAAATCTCCGGGGCCCCATCATAAATATCGGTGGCCCTGGCTCTCCATAAAATATCTCGCTGACTATATATATAATAAACTTTGAAAACTGGCTATAATATATTCGGTGCTGTATGGCACAAATTCCCTATGTACAGGCTGAGCAGTGAGCACGTACTGCGCATTGCCTCCCTTTGATGTATCGCCAACAAACGAATCGGAGCGAGGCCGCACGGAGCAATTTGCCGCGCCTCGGAAACTCGTCCACACATGCATACTCATGCGTCCTCGGCTTGCCTCATACGCGTACGTGTTCAGATCTGTAACCGCCTTAACAGCCATCCTTACCGGGGATGGCTGACTCAAAGGATACCTCAGTAAACTGAGAGTAGTGGAAGACAGTGAGTCCAGATTCTGTGACTAAATGTGTAGCGTTCCAGAATCCAAAGGCACCATATATAGGAGCATACCAAATAGAAGAGGGTGATCTACCTCCAAATTGTAAACTTCCTGGAGAAGATAGGCATCGATACTATTTTCTTGTTGCATTAGCTCATACCTAATATAACATTACATTTAAAGTCATACTGGAGTCAATCTGGACATATGGTATAGAGCAGTGGTCGCCAACCTGTCGATCGCGAGCTACCAGTAGCTCGCGGAGGCAATTCTGGTAGCTCTCACAACGATTTTAATTTAAAAAATACAAACTGCAAAAATCAGAGAAGCTTCCGAAAATTCCACAAAAAAATCTAATTGTCATAATATTAAACATAAACAGTGGCAACGTTGCGGTGAGCGATCTGCCGCTGACGCCATTAAGCTAGAATCGGCTAGAACCGACCAGCCGGACCAGCGCGTTAGTGTTCGAGAACGATCAGGATTGCTTTGAACGGGATAAAAACGCACGGCGCGGCGACATTGCGCTTAGTTTAAAACGGAATGCGTAACCAACGTCCAGCGGTTGGGTTAGCAGAGAATAACAAAAAATAATATTATGGCAAGCAGTTGTAAGAAGGTAAAGACATACCACTTTCATTCGGAATGGGAAGAACAATACTTTTTTACAGAAGTTAAAGATAAAAATGTGTGTTTGTTATGTAATACTTCAGTCTCCGTTGCTAAAAAAGGAAATATTGAGAGACATCATAAAACTGTACATTCTAATTTTGAAAAATCATTCCCACTACATTCTGCCGCCAGAAAGGAGAAACTGAAACAGTTAAAAAAAGCAGTTAATTGGACAACAATCAATATTTTTAAGAACAGTCGACAAAAATAAGGCTGCAACTGAAGCATCGTACCGTGTGTCCCAGATAATTGCACAAAAAAAGAAACCTTATGAAGACGGGGAAATGATAAAACAGGCGTTTTTAGAAGCTGCTGATTCCTTATTTGCCAACTTTAGAAATAAAGACGAGATAGTTTCAGCTATAAAATCTATGCAACTTTCTGCTAATACAGTGATGAGACGTGTAGAAGTAATGAGCAATGATATTTTTTTACAGTTAAGAACTGACTTAGATAACTGTGTTTATTTTTCACTTCAACTGGATGAATCAACAGATGTCGTTGACACTGCCCAGATGGTCGTGTTCGTCAGGATGGTTTTTAGTGATTTTACGATTAAAGAAGATCTTTTAAAGTTTATTCACTGAAAGGACACACTACTGGACAGGACTTGTTTTCTCATTTAAAAAATATTATTTCTTTCGAGAAAATTCCAATATTGAAAATGGTAGGCTTGACAACCCATGGCGCTCCAGCTATGGTGGGTTGTGATAAGGGTCTGGTGGCGTTATGTCGTAAAGGTGAAACTTTTCCGCAATTTCTCTGTTACCACTGCATTATCTATCAGCAAGCATTATGTGGAAATTTCCTGAAACTAAACAACGTTATGAAACTGGTGGTAAAAATTGTGAACAAGATTAGAGCTCAAGCGTTACAAAGAAGATTATTCAAAACCTTGGCCGATGAAGTTGACTGTCAATACGGGGACCTACTCCTTCACTCTGAAGTCCGATGGTTAAGTAGAGGACGGGTGCTGAAACGTTTTAATGATGTCCTATCTGGCATAGTTCAATTTTTCAAACAACGCGATGAACCGACTCCGGAACTAGAAAATTCAATCTGGCTTAGAGATTTTGGTTTTCTCGTGGACATTACAGAGAAATTAAACGAACTTAATTTGCAGCTTCAGGGGAGAGACAAAGAACTAGCGGAAATGATTTCTGATATAAAATCATTTATCAAAAAGCTGGAGTTTTGGGAACAAAACCTAATTAACAGCGATGCCAAGCGTTTTCCTATTCTTTCAGAAAAAATATCTCAAAATCCATTAGAACCCTATGACAGCAAATATCATGTAGAAATAGTTTCTACACTGAAGAATAACTTCAAAAATCGTTTTAAGGATTTCAACGAAATGGCTTTAGTAGCGCAGTTTCTTGTTTCACCCTTTATGGAAATTGATATCCAACAGTTTGCAACTTGTGTTATGCAGAACTTTGGTGAAGACATCGCTGCAACAGAAATGGAAGTAATTGAGTTTCAAAATGATTTAGCCTTAAAATCGTTAGTCTCAAGTACCAAATGTATCTGGCCTTTTGTAAGTAAAGACAAATATTCAGTTCTATACCGTGTTGCCTTGAAAGTGAAAGCATTATTCAGTTCAACTTATTTGTGTGAATATTCTTTTTCCAATATGAAGTTTATTAAGAACAAATATCGCAATCGACTTACAGATGAACATTTGGATAATTGTATTCGAATGGCTGTATCAAATTATACTGCAAACATTAAAAAAAATATCGATGAGTCTGAGTGTCAGCCTTCTCATTGAACGTGCTTTTTTATTTTTCAATGTTTATGTTCATGATAGTGCGTTACTTTTTTGTTGTTATTATTAACTATTTTTAAATCTTACGTGACATGCCGTTGTGGTTGGATAAAAGTTTGTGTTTATTTTTCAAACACCTTCGTTTGGTAGGTAGGAATGTACTAGTAATATTGGTTATTTTGTTATTAGTTTATTATTAGTACCTATGTATTATGTATTACCAGTTAAATAGTAAAATAAATACATATAATGATGAATTAACTGTGGATTATTTCATTTACGTTGCGTTACGTGGCTTCCGTGTGGGTAGCTCGCTGTTTATTCCAAAATTAACAAAGTAGCTCAACACATTGATAGGTTGGCGACCACTGGTATAGAGCTATGGGGTTGTAGCAAACCATCGAACAAAAAAATATTACAAATGTTCCAATCAAAAACACGTCAAAAGATAGGTAATTCTCTATGGTTCGTTAGCGACTACGCACTGCATAAGGATCTTGGCATTTTAATCATCAATGAAGTGATAAAGATCTTAGCTAACAAAAACAAAATTGGGAATGAACATCGTATAAATCCAATGATAGCTAACGTATTCACTGATCATATGGAACGCAGAAGACCAAAATGTTACTGTCCAGAAGACCTCTCGATGGATGGTCCCCGCCTCGCATGTCACCTTAAAAGAAACTTAATAGTTTGTATACTTTTGAGTAGATTGTAAATTTGCAATATAATATTAATAAATATAGTTTAAAAAAACTAAAAATCACGCTTTTAGAGCATATCAAACTAAAAAGTTAAAAATAATTTTTCAAATAAGCTTAAAACAATAATAAATGCAAAATACTATTATTATTGTAAAAAAAGCGTCGGGCTCTCGATGTACGAGAAATATGGACAAAGCGCCCCACGCTTTTTTCACAATATTACTAGTATTTTCCATTTATTATTGTTTTAAGCGTATTTGAAAAATTATTTTTAACTTTTTAGTTTGATATGCTCTTAAAGCGTGATTTTTAGTTTTTTAAACTATATTTATTTTTCACTTTTTAGTTTGATGTATTATAAAAGCAGTATTATTGTGAAAAAAGCGTCGGGCGCTCGATGTACGAGAAATATGGACAAAGCGCCCCACGCTTTTTTCACAATAATACTAGTATTTTCCATTTATTATTGTTTTAAGCTTATTTGAAAAATTATTTTTAACTTTTTAGTTTGATATGCTCTAAAAGCGTGATTTTTAGTTTTTTTAAACCATATTTATTTTTCACTTTTTAGTTTGATGTATTATAAAAGCGTGTTTTTTAGTTTTTTTGAACTATATTTATTTTTTACTTTTTAGTTCGATTAATTATTAAAAAAAAAATTGCTTTTTTTTCAACCGTGGGGATTAGAACCCACGATCGGTGAGTCTGGCAATCGAAAACCCGCGCGTTAGACCGCTCGGCCACGAACGAACTTGAGTTAGTGGGATATACTGACAGTAATAAGCCACTTGAGTCCAAAGGAGAGTTACAAACATACATACAGGTGAAGCTAATATAAGCGTGTTAAAAAGTAAGAAACAATCTTAATTTTGAAAGTGTTTTATTAAAAAATATATTTTCTGTCATAAACTTCAAACGTATTAACAATGCTCGTGCCTTAGGTACTGTTAAAAAATAAATATCCTTCTTTATATAATACAAAAATAAATAATATCACCAGTAGGTACTCAGAATTACAAAATTCCAACAAATAAATATTTAAATTAATTTAAACTAAATTGAATTTTAACTCTAAGAAAATTATCGTTTAACGAATTTAAATTTAAATGTGTCTTTTTTGAGGGCTAGTGATCCAACTTGTATTTTGTATGATTCTTTATCGGCAGGCAAGATTGTGAAGTTTTGTAAAAATCCTCCTATGACCCCGAAGGATATAAGTTGGACCATCCTGTATCCTAGACAGCTTCTACGTCCCCCTCCAAATGGCAAAAAATGGTCTGGTTTCACCAGGTTTCCGTTTTTCAAAAACCTTTCTGGCTTGAATTTCGTCGGCTGATCCCAAAGTTCTTCTGATATATTTAATTCGTAGTTGTTCATGAAAATTACAGAGCCCTTTTCAATTTTGTAACCTGAAACAAAAATACCGTCATTAGTCTTAATTTATCCATATTAACATATCGCTTGAATGAAACTTGACAACATTAGGCTTTATCGTAAATGTTTTTTATCTTGTGTTTAATTTTTTTGATATCGTGATGTCACGATTTTAGCCTTAGTTGTGTACCTAATATATTTTTATTAAAACCACTATTAAAATAAACGTATAGTTAACATAACTACTATTATGTACTCTGAAAACTGGAGTGATTTTTAACCTACCTATATTTCAATTTTATTATACCAAAGTGTAGATAATAAGATTAACAATTAAAAACTACCCTGTGGAGACAAGAGAATAGCAGAAAAGAAAACTTAGGAAGGAATGGCAGATTACAAGATCACTAGAAAACAAAAATATAGTAAATAGGGCTGGGTAGAATGAGAAGGGGAATCCTAAAGAACAGTATATATAGATTATTCTTTCTGAAAAACAACTAAAAAGATAAAAAATTCATGTACCCACTGTACCACATTACAAATGGACAAGAGATAACAGGAAGCTGATATTTTCGCTGAAAAGACGATTTAATTAACAATTAGATGAAAATTTACCTAACGAGCCGATCCATAATATGAAACCACTTGAAATTCTAGTTACTCCCAATGAAGTTGTGAAAAAAAATTAGACAAACATTAACCCACAGAAGACCCAAGAATATGAACTTATTACTGGAGAAATAAAAAAGAAATTGCTAAGGAAGGCTATCGCTAAATTGACATGCTTCCTAAATGTAGCATTTCGCCTTAAATATGTATACAGAAGATTAGTGAAAAATGACTGATATCCGAATTCCTAAGCCAGAAAAACTTCCCAATGAAATGTCATCATATAGACCTATATCATTGTTACCGATAATGTATAAGCTGTTTGAAAAGCTTCTACTAAGACGACTAAAACCAATCATTATAAATAAAAACCTCATCCCTTCGCACCAATTTCTTTTAAAAAAGAAACACACCCGACAATGTATCAAATACACAGGATCTAAAAAGCTACGAAGAAAAATGCTCAGCTATATTCTTTGACGTGTCCCAAACATTTGACAAGGTTTGGCAGGCTGGCCTGATACAGAAAGTTTTAAAAATGCTTTCTAGACAATATGTCGTCATTCTTCATTCATATTTAACGGAAATAATGTTTAGAGTGAAGCAAGAAGAGGCATACTCCGAAATTAAAGCTGGTATCCGACAGAACAGTGAGATAGTACCGCCAGCGATATCCTCTACAATAATCTGACATATTCCCCTTCACCAATGAGTAGGGTTGCCAATGTTTAAATCAGAACAAACAATGGTTTTTTTGCACTTGGCTCTTAGACTAATAGTTTATTAAGTAAGAAAACCTTAATTACTCACCATTAATAGAACTATCTCTGTTTGCAACCCTGGGTACAATCGGAGACGCTATCATTCGAACAGCTTCAAAAATGGTCGCTTCAGTGTAAGGCATGACATTTCGATCCCCAATCGTAACGGTTTTGTTTTTTCCGACATTTTCATCAATTTCTTCCTGTATTTTCTTTTGGACATGCGGTTCCTTGACCAAAAAGGCGAATACTTGGGTTAAAAAGTTGCTTACTGCTGCATGCCCGCCAATGATGTCTTCCAAAGCGAAAAGAGCAGTGTTCCAATCAAAATCAGCATTGTCTTTTTTAACGTATTTAATAAGACCTTCTACGTAATCAGCAGGTTCCGATTCTGAATCAAACTCATCAAATCTCTTTTCAATTATTTCATCTTCAACAAACTGTCTGATTTCGTGTGTTAAACATTTCATTCTCTCCATATTTTTCTTTAGTAACGGAGTCAAAAAGGGCAGAAAATCAGCAACATAACCTTGGTTAACCTCGAAGAAGATTTCATCGAAGTTTTCAATAGTTTTTACGAAGCGTTCATCTTGAACGTCGAAGCTTTTTGAGCAAAAATGGCTCAAGAAAATATTTGCGCAGTTTTTGGCTATGATAGGTTTCAGATCGGTGTTAGCTTCAGGAGTTATTTGAGAAAGCATGTTTTTCGTTTCAATTGATATAATGTTTTCTAGGGCGAAAAAATTGTTGGTGAATGCTCGTGGGAAAGTATGTACTCTTAGCATGTCCCGTCTGACTTTTTGGGTCTCCGACCAATCACAGAATGCCAAAGCTGTAAAAAGACAATTTGTTAGAAATAATATATTTTTAAATAAAGAAGGGTGTTCAACTTTTCAAATGTGTTTAAATTTTATTCAAATTTGCCGACAAGTTTCGGCTAATCAGCCATTCTCAAGATATTAAATTAGTTGGCATGACATGATTTAAACATTTATAATGAGTAAATTAGTAGAAAATTTTAGAAGAATTGTTGAAAACTATTAGAAAAAACAGTGGTTTCACATTTTTTCAATAGTCTTTAACAATTTTCTAAATTATTTGACCAAAATTGTGCGGGGTTGATCCCGGAATAAAATATTTTGCTGTAGAAAAAAAGGGTAGAGTTTAATAACCATAAGAAATAACACATTAATACAGGCATATTCATAATGAATTGTACACAGTGTGATAGCAGAATCCTGACATCAAAATATTTGTCCAATATTGGCCAAAAACAATTTACAGGGTAAAGGTATAGTATATTACATTACGAGTGTGGAAAGTGAAATTTTTCACACGAGTGGGAAATATTGTCGCACGAGGCACAAGCTTAGTGCGACTATCACACGAATGTGGAAAATCACTTTTCAAGTGATGTACAATATTTTTCCTACGACCACAAAATAATTTCATCAAAAAATGTAAAACCAGGTTATTATTGTATTAATTAAAATGTATTTAAAAAATAATCAACAATAATCTTTTCTATTCATTTTTTATATTTTCTAAACAAAAAAAAAACAAAAAAAAATAAAAAAAAAACAAAAAAAAAATTTGTCCCTGCAAGGATTTGAACGCGGTCGCTTGCCAGGTCTCAAATGGCAAAATTGATAAAGTTTGATACTCTAACCATCTCAGCTAATAGGCCTTGCGTGAATTGAGGGATCTAATCGGTTATGTGTTTAACCAGAATAAAAAGCAAACATAACTAGTTATTTTAAAATTATTTTAATAATAGTTGTTAAAGATAAATATCTAGGATCTAATTTACAATAATTTCAATAATTTAACAATCATATCGATTTTAGTATTAATATGGACATTACATAGATCAAAATAAAAATGACGCGTTTGACATTTTGTGACGGCTGATGCGGAAAGTAGCATATTCGTACACGGGTGGAAAGTTAATTCTTATTCATACGCGTGTGATATAGGGCACTTTCCATAGGACTATATAAGTGTGATATCTGTCACTTTCCTAAGTGGTCGTAGGAAAAAATATGTTTCTAATCATTTTAAAATAATTACAGTACCCGCTTCATTAATAAAGATGAAATTTTGGCATTTGAAGTTTTTAGAGGTGACAAAATGTCACCATAATATTATAATTGGCGTACGTCACGACAAAGCGGTTCTTATGCTAGCGAATATGACTTTTTAGCTATAACATTTTTATGTTAAATAAAGAAGATATGGCGATACGCTAGTGTTGTGCAGACAACATTTACAAATAAAAAGGTATACCTGTTTCAACTTGATAATTTTAGCCAACTTCGAGAAATTAATAAAATATTAATTGAACACATTTCAATGGTTCATCATTACCGTTAAAAATTGGACATTAATAACAGTTGAATATTTACAGAAAAATGTGTTACTATTTTGTTAATAACTTTGATACAGAATAAATAAATAATTTGGTACTGGTTTAACCATAACAGAATGACAAATAGAATATTATTATTATCACAAAATAATTAATAAAACATTTTTAATTTTACCGCTCTGTAAATGATTGACTATCAACATGTTAGTGAAGTCACATTTGGTCTATCACCATATTTTGAAGAATTGCTCTGTGTATAATTCTTTATAAATCACTCAATACAATTCATCAGTGTTATCCCACGTAAAACATTTTTTTATCCCACATAAAATGTATTATAAACATGGGCGAAGTTATGTCATCAGATCTGGGGGGGCTAAAGCCCTAGCCATATAATATATAATAGTTCTAGAGGTATACCTACTGAAGTTAAGTAAAAAAATTCTGGCGAATCGATGAAAATGGATAAAATATCATATATCGATTCTAAACAAAGTTTTGCAAAATTTCAATATTGTGAATTTGTAGATATCCATTTATGGTAAAAAACTAAATTTTACGACTTGCACTTGGAAAATAATGAATACTTCAGTTTTGATTTTGACATTAACACCATATAGATTGCAATTTGCTGGGGACTTTTTCGCAGATTTCATTTTTAACATAAACACTATTACATACTATAAGAAATAAACAAATTTAAAGCTAAAAAGTAAGAAAAACTCGAATTGTAATTGATACAAATTAAAATGTAAACAATGAACTCGTTGCCAAAAAAGTCCTTAAATAAATATAGAGTATGATTACATATTACTATACACAAATTTTGATTCTTAAATAAAAGGTCTTATCCACTTCTTCAAGAGCTAAAATCCGACGACGTAGAGAAATTTTGCTACTTCTGGCAACACTGAACGATATCCTACTTATAGGGACCTTCTACAAATTTCCTCCAGAGGGCGTATCACTTAGCTTGAATCGCGAATAAAGATCCTTCCAATTATACCTTCTCAAGGAAGTGTAGGATTTGGAGTGGCTTCAAGTTAAGTAAATCTCCCTCTTCTATTTGATATGCTCCTAGGTATAGTGCCCTTGGATTCTCAAGTGCTACACATTTAGTTAGAATGTGAATGAAGATGGTTTCCTCCTCCTCCTCACAAAATCTGCACTATCTTCTACTACTCTCAGTTTACTAAGGTATAATTTTAGTTGGCAATGTCCAGTAAGGATTCCTGTTACAAGTGTTCTCACTACTAGAAAAATGTATATTATGATAACAGCTTAAAATACAATCTGGCTAATGTGGAACACCCCGAAAGCCTTGCCAAACTCGTCTAATGACCGTCTGGCGCGCTAAATTCGGCACGTTCGATTACTATTCCTCTCCTCGTTTAACTACCTGGCTTGTCAGGTCCGACCGAAATACGGTTTTATAACCGAAACAGAAACCAAATTTTGGCTCCTTTCTTAGTTTCGGCCGAAATAGAAACAAGAACTTTCTTTTAAGGCAATCTCTTATTGAAATTTGCAATATCTCATTGTAATCCTTGTTTTAGACTAATTAACTCGTATTATAAATTTTAGCTACATTTACTTATTACCTGTTTATTTATGTGATCAAAAGAAGTCATTAATACATTTATTGACATGTTCACTTGAAACAAAGCAGAGAAGTTTGTGTGTACGTGGTCGTGCACTGTGTAGGAATGGCACCCGGCACAGTCGCCATTGCGCCGGACACAACCAATTGTGATACGAAAACTTTTAAAAGTAGTTTCGCTGTCGGCTGCAGTTTCGGCCAGTGTTCCGCCGAAACCGAAACTGTAGTCGAAACTATTATTTAAAGCCAAAGTTGGCCGAAACCGTAACCGAACCTTCGGTCGGACACTACTTGTGAGTCTGGCAGGCCTCTGTAATTGTAATTGTCAGCCAGACGTGTATTTTCACTTACGAATATTTTGAAATTTATCCTAAGTAGATGGATAATGTTCTTAAGTTATGCGTGAGTGTGCAAAAATTTACTGATAATAATTTAGGCACGTTTGGTATTGGGTAAGAAAGTTTTACACCAAAATATCCAAATTTTAAAACTTGACAGACATGCATTAAAACGACTAAAATCAAATTTTTAAAGGTAGCCATACCACAGAATATGCTGTGACTATACCATGACCATTTGTCATATTTGAAGTCGTTTAGTTGACGCGAAAAACCTAATTATTATTTTACATAAAATAAATGTAGTGTATTTCTACCTAGTTATAATTGGTATTAAATAAAATATTAACCACTGAAATGGCAAATTTTTTATATGCATGAAAGAGCTGCTTAACTGTCAAAAAAATGTTCAGTATAATTTCGTTCAGGGTACCCACCAAAAGAAAAATTTCCGAAAATTTTTCTGGTTGTCATGAAAGTGTTTTTATAAAACAGCAGTTGATTGGCTATAAAATGGAGGTGTAAAATTATAATTTAATCTATCACGTGACAAATTTTCAAATCCGGGAAAATAAAAGCAAAAATATTATATTTTTTCCATTTAGAAGATATTACCAGACTCATTAGCCAATTTCGTAAATCAGCCAGACTTATTATTATAAACAGTTCATGATTGTATCAATTTATATGCTCAATTTTCTGCCACACTCACTTTCCACTATCTGAGATAATCCAAACTGCTATTTTTATAAGCTTTAGGTTCTAGTTTAGTAAATGTAAAATAGTTATGACTGGGAAAATAAGTGTCAGACTCAAAAATTTTGTTTTTTGTCACTAAGAGAACAGTTTATTTTTCATTAACACCGACTGGAAAAATGAATACGAAAAAAATTCACTGCCTCCTGAACTAAATGTAAAATTGCAGAATCAATCAAATGGCACGATTCTTTTTATTTTTTAATTTCTGTTCTGAAATGTTTGGGTGGATGTGCGATAAATGTTCTAATTATTTATGGGGGGGCTAATTTGGTTTTTGGGGGGGCTTAGCCCCCCCAAGCCCCCCCTTAACTTCGCCCATGATTATAAAATTTAATTTATTTTTTATTTTATTTTATGAGGGATATATATTTCATGTGGGATACATTTGATATATAATCGATTCTATGTAGGATTAAATTTATGTAGTATCCATTTTATGTAGTATTAATTTTATGTGGGATTAATTTTATATAGAATGTATTTTATGTAGAATTAATTTCGATAAACTTAATTTTATGTTTTGGATTGATTTTTTTTGCGGTACTGATTTTATCTGGAACTTGTTTTATGTAAAATTCATTTTAATAAAATGAATGAGGGATTAATTTTATATGGGATTATGAGTTACTATTAGTGATATATAAAGGGCTGTAATCAGTGTGATATTTGAACTAAGCTACCGACCTGAAAAATTTTTAATGTAAACCCGAAGTCTCCGGATCAAAACGACGATGTTGGCAACCCTAAATTTTAATTTTGATAATAATTATTTATTCATTATCTGTTAATAATTAAAACGCTTCAGAATGGCTGATTATTCGAAACCGATCGCCAAATTTTATGAAAATATGTGGAACGTGCTTTTGTCATAAATTTTTCATGTATACAGGGTGTTCCAAAAAATATGTAATATTACTCGTGGGTTGATTTCTTATCCAAAAATAAGATAAATAGTTCCTATCAATATTTCGCAGATGTTTTAAAAAATCAGGGCATTTTTTTTCCAAATATTTCCGAAATGGTTTTAACAACTATTTGAATGAAATTTTGGTTGTGTAATATATCTAAAAAAGCATAATTTTATTAAGAGTAAACCGAACACCTTAAATAAATATAGTTTAAAAAACGAAAAAACACGCTTTTAGAGCAAATCAAACTAAAATGTTAAAAATAATTTTTTTAACACGCTCTTATTCAAATAAGAATAAAACAATAATAAATGGAAAATACTAGTATTATTGTGAAAAAAGCGTCGGGCGCTTGATGTACGAGAAATATGGACAAAGCGCCCTACGCTTCTTTCACAATAATACTAGTATTTTTGTTTTAAGCTTATTTGAAAAAAAGTGTGTTAAAAAAAATTATTTTTAACTTTTTAGTTTGATATGCTCTAAAAGCGTGTTTTTTAGTTTTTTTAAACTATATTTATCTTTCACTTTTTAGTTCGATGTATTATAAAAGCGTGTTTTTTTAGTTTTTTTAAACTATATTTATTTTTAACTTTTTAGTTCGATTAATTATTAAAAAAAAAAAAATTTTTCAGCCGTGGGGATTAGAACCCACGATCGGTGAGTCTGGCAATCGAAAACCCGTGCCTTAGACCGCTCGATCAACGAACGAACTTGACTTAGTGGGATATACTGACAGTAATAAGCCACTTGAGTCCAAAGGAGAGTTACAAACATACATACATACAGGTGAAGCTAAAATAAGCGTGTTAAAAATGAATAACTCCTTCTGAGCCTTTACTTTTAGTCTGATTATTGTGAAATTTTCAGGAAATACCAACAATAACAAAACTTAGAATGGAGAAACCTTGAATTTTTTGTAAACCTTCGAATAGTATTTTAAATTTTTTTGAAAGGAATTAAAAAAACATTATTGCGTCATTCTGTATTAAATCTATGAAAATTTACTCCTTTTTGTTTAATAAATATCTAGTAGTTTTTAAATTGAAGGATTTCCCACCTTTTTTCTGAAACGTTTCTGTAGAGTGCTGCCTTATCGTTACACAAATTTAAAGTTCGCAATATTCTCAAGATTATTATCACGAAGTATTCCCAGTGGCGCGCATATAAAATAATTTTATATTAGAAAATTCTTAAAACATTTTTAATTTTGCGAGAGGTCCAGTTTGTTCTCTATAAAAAAAATATAAAAAGGTTTGATATGGTCGCGGGTGAGAAAAAATAGGTACGCCACTGATTTTTTATTTTTGATAGCACAATATTTAAATGACTAATAAAAATCACCGTTAATGATTTTTAAAACTACGGGTTTGTTTAGGAGAGTTAAATTTAGATATAAACATCTAGTATACTTTTGTCAAAGCCAACTGCCTTGTTATGGTTTTGGATACTGTTGATTATTTTCCAAATTTCCCTCTGAATTTTTTTACTGATTGTGTAACCCTCTGTATCTTTGAAATAAAGCATCTGCGAACCTATGTTGATAGGAACTATTTGTCTTATTTTTGGATAGGGAATCATCCCCCGAGCGATACCATATATTTTTTGAAACACCCTTCTATTAATTAATTATTTAAGAAATTATTTTTATTTAATTTTTTTACACGAGAACGATTATAATATCCTAATAAAATTCCATCTATAAATAAGCCAACATGGATTTTCCTAATTTGTAAATACTAAATTTTTTAAATCAGTCTTTAAATATTTAATTCTAATCTGAAAGATAACAGACGTTATTTACCCTCTTTTCTAGTTAATTTTTTTACAAAAAAATGTTTATAGGTAGGTACCATAATTATTAAATTACTTTTGTACGAAAAATATGAAAAATAGACAGTGAAATATAATCCTACATTATTTTTTCTACGACCACAAGTCAATTCTTTCAAAGAAATCTTTTTTGACAATATCAGTCAAATTAAACATGTTGATATGCAGGCCTAATTTCTGTTATTTTTCTTGAATTATGTACTTTTTAAATTTTTTTTATATAATTTCAAATTTTCAAATTTTAACTAAATCTATTATTTTTTAGGCCATAAAAGAATCTAAAATATAATTAAAAATAGGATAATTTTATGATCGTAGTAGAATTTTTTAGAAATAAATAAAAGTTATTTGGGAATATCGGTCACTGTAAGTATTTATTTTATAACATAACAGTTTAAAATTTTTATAGTTTCACGTTTATTCGAAATATTAATATTTATATGTGGTTTAACAATTAGTAGGTAAACAAACAGAACAGTTTTTAAGGAAATAAAAATTACCAGTGGTGTTACAGTATATTAAAATAAACACATGATAAATATTGTATGTCTATTTTATTATTTACAGAGTTAAATGTTACATGTTGAGCTAAAAACTTATACTGACCGATATTACCTGAAAATTTTTACTTATTTCTAAATAATTAAATAAGCATAAAAAGTAATCACTTACAATTTTCCTTGTTTCCATCAAACAATTGCTGGTAGCGTTCAAAATTGGGTCTGGAATCGAAGTGACTCCCCTTGGTCACCAACGCCTCTCTTACATTTTTCTCTCCATTAACAACAATACACTTCACCCCTCCCAGTTGCAATTTCACTATTTTCCCGAATTTTTCCCCCAAAGCACTAAAAGCTTGATACGGTACTTCGTAACCCCCGAGCAGATGCAAATGTCCGATTATTGGTAATTTTCTTGGCGACGGTGGTTCAATTAAACCACTTTCCCCATTTTCCGAGACGTTTTTCTCGATATTCCTTCTTTTTCTTCGTTCTTCTAAAATTCCTTTGCTGATGACGACTAACATCAAGCTGGCCAAAATGATTAGGGTGTTGGTAAGGGTGAAGGCCATGGAGAAGAACATCTTGCGCACCACTGGTGATCTTCTAGTGCGAAGGGAGACTAACGGAAGGCAGAAACGTTGTCTTAGGAGCTTCGTGGAAGGCGGATGGTTATATAGTTTAAGATTACCATAATGAAATGCGATGTGTGTTGTGATTTGCATTTTTTAAAGACCGATTTGAATGCACTTTGACTAACTGTTTGGAAAATTGTGTTGTGATATGATACGGGAATATTTTGAGGATTTTATGACGAGACGCGAGTTGTACAAAACAAAATACTTTCCCTCAATTTACGTAATATAATTATGGATCATGGATAAATTAATTGAATTTGTTGATAATGAAATACTTTCGTCTTTCAAATGGCATTTTTGACCTGAATATTATAAAAATACTTTCTTCGACCTTCTTGGAGTGACACCCTAACTTCTTAATTTGATTCCAGGTTTGAAAGGAGTTTCAACTAAATATTTTTGAAGAAAAATAAATCTGTTTTTAATGTCCTCATTGCGTAGTAAACAATATACAGATGAATTGTGATTGGGTTAAAATTTACTTAGTTAAATTATGTTTCTGCCAAAAACTACAGAAGGAACTGAAACATGAGTGTATGTACCTGGAACCAAATATTATAATACTTGGAATTGTAGAAGATAGTGAGTGCAGATTCTGCAAAGGAGATGACAAAACCTCCATTTGCATTCTGATAGAATGTGTGGCCCTACAGATTCGAACCCCATAACAGGTTTTCTTCAGAAAATATTTTAAGAATTTCGCCTTCGTCAATACCGTTATATTGTCGAGGTTTTATTCCTTTTATCCGTTTCAATTCATACGAAATCTAATAAAATAATATATTAGGCCGACTTTCAAAGGAGACATATAATTGCAGATCTCGAGTCTATATATTGTTAAAGATACTACATTTCTAGATGCGAGATTAGGTACATTCACGTTCTCGCGGCAGTTAAGCAATAATGTCTCCGGTCACGTCGTAGATGCGTTACTACAAGCGGTGACCGACTAGTTGTTAACCATCGACGACGCGAAATGAATAACGATGAGTGAGTGTATGATAAATGGGAAGAAGTATGGTATCCAAATGGTGGCACAATAGGTCACCTGCGTTTTAGTGCCGCCATGCGAACCCCAAGAGGAGGGAAAGCGAGCTGGATCCCTAAGTCTGATTGAGGAGAGCCAGTGACTGGACTCAAGGCTGATTGGGGGAAGTCTGCCGGAATCCTTCCTCGGAGGGGAACAGAGGGATGTCTGAAATGGTAAAAAAGGTGTACTATGCTAATTTAATAAAAATATAAACAACAAAGGAAAAAGATTTAAGAAACAACGAGTGACCATTTCCCTTCTGAAAACAACTACTCCTTTGGCTAATATCTCAACAGGCATTGCATTATCTTAAAAGACAGAAATTAAATTTTGATTTTGCTTCTTAAGGAGAAAGTAATTTAAGACCAGTTTCGTCCTTATTAGGACTTATCAGCAAGAAATAGACATTCTCAACTCCAGTCTCTATTAGAGTCTGCAAGCTATACAAAATTCACTTGCACACATTAACGAAGGTTAAGAGTATGTAGATATTTAATAAGCAAAAAAGGCAACGCCATCTGCACTTAGGAAGCAAAATTAAAGCTCGCTGTGGTACCTAGTTCTCTAGAACCAGGCTGAACAATAAAGAAAATAAAGTGAGTAACAAAACATTTTTTATTTATAAATATCATATTTTGAATAAAAAATATAAAAAAACAACAAGGAGCATCCGATACTTACAAAAATGGCGTCAAGTTCCCGCATAATATTGTTATATGGAAATATCTTTAAAAATAAGCATAGTACGTACCGAACAAGATTTTGTAATAAAATATTTACAGGTTGCCGAAATATTTATTAAATTGTAGTTTATGTTACAAGGACAAAAAGTTGAGTTTTTCGAGTGACTACGAGAAGCTTGCCAGGCGAGACGTAGTCGAGTCTGGCAACTCGTAGGAGTCTGAAAAAGACACTTTTTGACCGTGTTTTTAATACATTATTTTTTATTCGAATGTGCTTGGATATTAAAAAATATATAGAAAATTATATCTGAAATATTATTTCCAATAATTTTTCCTCAACTGAGTTCGCTATGAGAACAATTGAACAATTTCTGTCGTGTCACTGTGTTCATGTTAAATTAATTTAATTCTTAGTTTATTAAAAATTGGTGTGAAAAAAATAACAAAAATGAGTAGTTATGAAGAATTCATTGCGGGTACGCCCCCAGAAATTAGAGACGCGGCAAATATGACGTCTTTGAATTTGATTCCAAAACAATCAAAAATGGTATATGAAAGAACCTTCTTCATATTGAGAATTCTAATTGATATGGAACACTTTTTAAACTTAACTTTAGAGGCTATGGCCGATAAAGTACATTTATGCAGTATATACAGAAGTTCTACTTTTAGACTATATTTTCTGTCCGAAAAACGACGTTTTTTACACATTCGAATAAAAAAATCAATTTTTTTTCGTTTTTTTTTTTAGAATAGCTAAACATAAGTGAACAGGGATAATTGCCTGGCCGTTGTAGAAATTTATACAAACAAATAAAAGTTTCTTGATATTATCGGTAACAGTTTTTATTTAAAGAGCACTACATATATGTATATGTTTCGGATTTATATCCCATAATATCTGGGATCTAATAAATCAGACGTTTATTTTAATCTAATCAATTAATTGTAAACTTTAAAATTATTAATGTAACGCCACTGATAATTTTAATCTCTGTAAAAACTCTTCTTTTTTGTTTCCCTAATAGTTTTGCTAAACCAAATTATATTTCGTATTCATACGACGTAAAACAAAAGATGGGATTTCGCTGGTTTTAAAATTTTAATTTGTTTGTTAAACTGACCCTCAATGTTAAAAAAAATTATGGAGTGCACCAGATGATGGCTATAAATTCGAAACAAATGTAGTTCCCCTTTAATAAATACTGTCATCGATAAGATCAATAAACTTTTATTTATTTGTATAAAAATAAGTGGTGTTTGTCTAATTAACCTTTGTCCAGATAATTTCAAGAATATCATTCGAACGGGTTGCCTAACCTAATAAATTCAAATTATACTTCAGGATACGCTATTTACTTATGTTGTTTCACTTCTTTAATTTCACTAAAGATTACTTTTTAATAAAAAGAATAATAAAATAATAATATATGCTTTAATGGGGTGGGTTGGCTTAGTGGTTAGAGTCATCACTTTGAGATCGAAGGGTCTCGGGTTCTAATCCCGCAGGTAACAGGGATCTTTATATAATTTTAAAAAATTAAATATTAATTCTAATGTATTTAGGTAGGATTCCCCATGCGACCATCCACTATTGGGTTTTAATTAACCTTCGGGCAGGCGCATTTATCCTTCAGATACATCGAAATTTTCTTTTTATTTGTAATACCTTCCTTGTTCTAGTGGTCCTATCTAAGAGTATGCCATGTGACTTTCAAATAGTCAGCCGTTTTGAGATATTGATATTTTGTATCACACGTCAGTTTTTTTTAATTTATATTTTTTTAGTTCATTTACGGTTTTTGAATGTTTACTGTTAATGTATAAAAATGCTTGCAATATATTTTTATTTTATCATTTTATATGATAAAATATATTGATAAGATACTATTAGGGTTGTAACGGAGGCCTTCTTAGCGGAGGCGGATGCGGAGGCGATGAGTTTCGCCTCCGCGGATGCGGAGGTTAACGGAGGCGGAGGTAAAAGTGGATATGGAAAAATATTAATTTATGGTTTATCAAAAGTAAAAAAATCTTTATTTCAAATAGGTTCATTGTTAGTACACTTTAATAAACATCAAAATTAGCAATCAAAATAACTAGTAATCAAAATTAAGGAGAGGCAAATTATATTTTACAAATAACAGTTTTGCGGCTTTGTCACCTTCCAGGCGATTTCTAAGAGGATCATAAATTATGCCAGCTGTACTAAATAATTGTTCACTTGGCACTGAACTGAGCGGCGCTGATAAATACGTGCGAACGATGGGAGAAAAAGCTTTATATTTAGTAGTATTTCTTCACCACAATAAAGGGTCATTATCTAAATTAAGTCGATTTTCTTTATTATATTCACTAATTAGTGATTTCCATATCATGAGGTTTCTATTGCTGCTGTCATTTTCGGTTTCCTCTTCACCGTCACTGGTATTTGTCAGCATGTCAGCCAGATTGGAATGTACACTTTGTATTGGTGGTAAAATCTGGAAACTTGTGCTCGGTTCATCATGTACCGATTGAAGTAAATACATCTCCGTTATAACTCCGCAAATATTTGACGGAGGCGGAAGCAGAGGCGAAGGTACGATTTCTTGCGGAACTTCCGCAGTAACGGAGGCAAAGGCGAAGTTCCGTTACAACCCTAGATACTATATGTACCTGAGAGATACATGCGCTTATACAGGGTGTTTCATAATATATGCGCAGGACTTCAGGACGTGATAGCTCGTCCAAAAATATGAAAAAACGTCTCTATTAACTTACCCTCTAAAATGCACCATTTTCGAGATACAGGGTGTTGAAATTGAAAAAAAAAAATTCTAGGCCACTGGAAAAAGTACGGTATTGAGACGCCCATTTGAACCGCCAATGTTTTCTACACAAAAAAAGGTACTCTTGGTCATACGCTCTAAAGTCGACCGTTTTCCAGAAAAATTTAATTTTGTTTCATCAAGTATGTATGACCATGTATTTCAACATTAAAATTGGATTTTCCTCGAAAACGGTCGACTTTACAGCGTATGACCAAGAGTACCTTTTTTGTGTAGAAAACATGGGCGGTTCAAATGGACGTCTCAAAACCGTACTTTTTCCAGTGGTGTAGAATTTTTTTTTTTCAATTTCAACACCCTGTATCTCGAAAATGGTGCATTTTAGAGGGTAAGTTAATAGAAACGTTTTTTCATATTTTTGGACGAGCTATCACGTCCTGAAGTCCTACGCATATATTGTAAAACACCCTGTATATGTTGTATTTATGTTCTAATTTTTTTGTAGGCCTTAAAATGGAATTAGGCAAAAAGAAATACGATCTAAATATTAAAAATGTGAAGAGTTGAGAAATCTACTGGCACTGATGTTTATTTTATACCAAAATATGGTAGTGTATCTATGAGATACATGCGCGCCTGTTCATGTAACTTTGGGGGCGCGCCTGCCGGAAGATTTTAACAGTGCTGTCTCTAGAGTAGCGCTGTGAAACAGTAACGGAACACGGGGTTAATAACCAAAGTAGTTGATGCCCATTATACAAAAAAGAGTGCTCTATTCTTAACAATAGAAGTTTACAGACATGTATCAAACTAAAGTTAAAATACCGATAAGTTTCGGTTGTAAAATATAAAAACCT